CCAAAAAGGGAGGGACTCTCAGGATTTAGGAGGCTCTTGTCTCTCAGAGGTACAATGTTCCATTCATGATAACCATCCAGCCGCAGTGAACGACCGACCTGCTCTATGGTGTCAGTGCAAGGGGGTGGGGGGGCTGGGTTGAGTCAAAGCCTCCCTCCCCCCCGAAAGCCCACAGTCTGACCCCACCCCCAGGTGTCACAACCCAAATCTTTGGGAAACAGACGTCAAACAATAACCCCAAAAGTATGACTCAGCAGCGTATCACTGCCCAACGCAAACATTTTGATTCCACTATTTGTCTGCGCTGCAAAAAGTGGGCTTTAAAAAAAAAAAAAAAAAAGAATAGAACTTTTACATGGATAAAAGAATGAAGCAAAGCAAATTTTTTTGCCAATATACAGGAACATTTGGCTGGGTAAAACCTTTAAAAATATCAGATATTTTGAGATCAACTTATTTATGACCAGAAATAAAATCTCATCAAGTCTTAACGTAACCTCATCTAAACACAGCATTCGGATTAATATTACGTTTGGGGAATATGAATTAAGTAGAAAAAGCCACCCGTTTTCATACATCTGAGTGGGGGGGCCGCATTTTGCCACACGCTCTTGCGCAAAAATGACATCACAGTGGTTCAGGGTTCAGGTAACTTTTCTGAGTTTGGTCATGTGATGTTCGCCAGCTGAGCCTGATGTCATTTTTTCATTCGGCAGCAATTGGCAAAATGGCCACCCCCTGAGATCAGTAAAAAAAATGTTTAAAGTGGATTTTGCTGCTGACTTCATATTCCACAAATGCCTTATTAATCAGAATACCTTTGTGTGTTTTTGTGCCATGACGTTCAGACTAGCGAGGCCGCATAGAACATCACCGTATTATCGACATGAAAATGTTTGAGTTGACCCCCACTTTAAGAGAGAAAACGATGGGCTCACAATGCAGTTTTTAGGATCAACGAAATCAGCGGGACTCCCACAAAGATGCAGAATGGTCCTGATTAAAGATAAATGGCCACACAGAAGAGCATGACTTTCTGCACGACTCTAAATTTCAGTCTGGGAGATATTTCGCCCCAGTTTGCCAGGTGAGCACCACTAAGTTGAGAACAAAAGCCCGGTTGCTTGTCACAACACCGCAGCGTGACTAGTTTGCTGATATGTCATTCCACCCCGTATCACATGTGACGTTTTAGATGAAGCGACAGAACTTGCTGTTACTGTTCGGACTTGATTTAATTTCCTACAATAATGCTGCTCCTGGGCATCTTTTAAGCACTTCATTATTCTCTCGCATGTGTTTGTAATTCCACACCACCAGCCAGGAAGAAAGCCTTAACGATGGGACGCTGGTCGTCTCAAAACACTGGTTCACCAAGTTTGTCTTGACAAAGATCCAACCATAATAAGTATTGTTTTTTGTTCTTTTTTTCCCCAAAGTTGAACTTGGTGTGACTAGTAAATTGATACAGTATTCTATTGTGGTAAAACAATGTCACATTTTTTACATACCGGGATAATTGCCATATGCCAGGACTGTGTTAGTGGGAGAAAATCGAGTGACCAACTGTTAAGGGGACCCGTTTTGAGCGAAATACAAACATCATTTGAAAATAAGTGAGTAATTTTATTAGAATAGAACTTTTACATGGATAAAAGAATGAAGCAAAGCAAATTTTTTTGCCAATATACAGGAACATTTGGCTGGGTAAAACCTTTAAAAATATCAGATATTTTGAGATCAACTTATTTATGACCAGAAATAAAATCTCATCAAGTCTTAACGTAACCTCATCTAAACACAGCATTCGGATTAATATTACGTTTGGGGAATATGAATTAAGTAGAAAAAGCCACCCGTTTTCATACATCTGAGTGGGGGGGCCGCATTTTGCCACACGCTCTTGCGCAAAAATGACATCACAGTGGTTCAGGGTTCAGGTAACTTTTCTGAGTTTGGTCATGTGATGTTCGCCAGCTGAGCCTGATGTCATTTTTTCATTCGGCAGCAATTGGCAAAATGGCCACCCCCTGAGATCAGTAAAAAAAATGTTTAAAGTGGATTTTGCTGCTGACTTCATATTCCACAAATGCCTTATTAATCAGAATACCTTTGTGTGTTTTTGTGCCATGACGTTCAGACTAGCGAGGCCGCATAGAACATCACCGTATTATCGACATGAAAATGTTTGAGTTGACCCCCACTTTAAGAGAGAAAACGATGGGCTCACAATGCAGTTTTTAGGATCAACGAAATCAGCGGGACTCCCACAAAGATGCAGAATGGTCCTGATTAAAGATAAATGGCCACACAGAAGAGCATGACTTTCTGCACGACTCTAAATTTCAGTCTGGGAGATATTTCGCCCCAGTTTGCCAGGTGAGCACCACTAAGTTGAGAACAAAAGCCCGGTTGCTTGTCACAACACCGCAGCGTGACTAGTTTGCTGATATGTCATTCCACCCCGTATCACATGTGACGTTTTAGATGAAGCGACAGAACTTGCTGTTACTGTTCGGACTTGATTTAATTTCCTACAATAATGCTGCTCCTGGGCATCTTTTAAGCACTTCATTATTCTCTCGCATGTGTTTGTAATTCCACACCACCAGCCAGGAAGAAAGCCTTAACGATGGGACGCTGGTCGTCTCAAAACACTGGTTCACCAAGTTTGTCTTGACAAAGATCCAACCATAATAAGTATTGTTTTTTGTTCTTTTTTTCCCCAAAGTTGAACTTGGTGTGACTAGTAAATTGATACAGTATTCTATTGTGGTAAAACAATGTCACATTTTTTACATACCGGGATAATTGCCATATGCCAGGACTGTGTTAGTGGGAGAAAATCGAGTGACCAACTGTTAAGGGGACCCGTTTTGAGCGAAATACAAACATCATTTGAAAATAAGTGAGTAATTTTATTCTCGTTACCGTAGTATCATTTTATTTCGAATTTGTTTTATTATGGGGTAGTTATCTTCCTTTCACATGTGTATGACAGTTATGAGTGCTGAAATGTGTCGTAAAGAGAAAAGGGAATTGCGTAGTTTGCGGTTGAAGGGGTGAGCAAGTGGCTCATGCGCAACAGGACCGCCCCCTCAAAACAGGCTAATTTCTTCACAGGACTGAAAAGTGGTTATTTTTTGCCTTAATTCCCATGTGGAATTTTTTTTCCACCCAATCTGTTTGAATCCGAACGTCTGACTACATTTCCCCAACATTTGTCAAATTGGTGTAAACCGCTCATCATGTTTAGAGGAGCTCTTATGACCACCCGAGGTCATGCAAAGGGTGTCAAGCCCGACAAAAACTAAAAACAAAGAGGAGGCGCCGAGGGCAAAACAAAGAAATAAAAACCACCATTAGCTTTTCAAAATTGCGGTTCTCATGTGAAATGTTCACATTCGGCGTCTCAATTTGCTCCCCAGTCTCATATATGAATCATATAATTATATAAAATATCCTTACCCCCCTACCGCCTTCCTGTCTCTCTCCTCCGCCTGCGTGGACGTGATCCAGCTGTTCCTGACGACGATGACTCGCCCGAGGCCCCGACTCCCGGGTCTCTTTTCACAACTTCTGGACAAAGACAAGCATTGCCTTGGCAGCGTATTGTTGACGAAACGTCTCCTGAAGGCGGCAGCTTCCAACAGCCGTTCCATTTCCCACCCGGCGTCTTCTCCTTCAAAAAAAAAAAAAAACGTGGTAATGATTCAAACGACAGCTGCGTCAACATTCAAAATGGAGAATTCAACAACAGAGCGCAGGTGACGCCAACATACATATTTATACTTTCATCTTTTTTTTTCCTTTTCCCCCCCAAAATTAAAGTTCTTTTGGGATATTACAGCATGTCTTTGAAATCAAAACAGTGTGCTCAGACCTCCAACAGTGAGGATTATCAGCCTAAAGTCTCTCGTTTAGGCCCAGTGAGTCCTGTCTGTGTGCAGTGTGTGTGTCGGCATCGCGCGCGCGCGCGCGCGCGCACACACACACACACACACACACACACACACACACACACACACACACACACACAGAGCGGTTGGGGTACTGGCCAAACCTGCAGCTCCAGAGTAAACAGGGACTGGGCCGCACCTCTCCAGCTCTTCTTTCATGGCGGTGAGAACGGCGTCCATCAGTGGCGAGCACATGGCGAGTCAGCGGTCAGGCCACAGTGGAGGCGTGAGAAGGGGGCGAGGGGGGAGTGTGAACTACAGTGGAGGCTCGAAAGTCAATTCAAGTTCAATTCGGACTTAAGACATTTTCGGACTCCAAACACTGAGACTGACTTTGTGTGTGTTCTATTCCGGCTTCTTACTAGGGTTTGGTTATGGGAGGAGACTCACCTCCAAAGCAAAAGGAGTTGTCTTTTTAACAAAATGAAAAAGAGGGCTTCACTCCTTTTTATCCCCAGAACTCTTTCCAAATCTGACGTCACATATTTTGCGCAACTTCATTTCAGTCAGCGTCTTGATGATTAACGACAGAAATGTGTTTTACGTCGTCTTCAATTTTGTCGTTCCACCACAAAAGGCTACAAGTGATGACAAAGGTGGTGATAACCATAGAACAGGAAATGGAACATACTGTGACATCGTGGGTCAACTCTCAAGTGAGTAGATGTCTTTGTGTTAACGTGCGACAAGCATTGAATGAGCACCTGAAGGGCTTTCAATTGTTCTTTGGACTGTTTTTTGATGTCATGTCAAAAGGCCAGGAATTTTTCATGAGTGTACCAGAAAATCGTGCTTCTAAAAATCACAAAATCCTTTCATGACGTCACTGTGCTTGTGCGACTTGAGCTCTGTGGGGGATCAAAAGATGAAATGCCTTTTCTCTGCATTTTTGGGGGGGATGCCAACACAAAAGGCTACCAGGGCAAAAAAGAAAAAACATCAACATCAAACAGCACAGCAGTTAACAAAAAAAAAACACAGATCTGTCCAGGCTGCTTGGTCTGAGTGGATATGGTGAAGAATGGACTGCACACCACAGAGTGAGCTGCATTTCATGTTTATAAAATGCATACATCAACTTCAAAAGAGACTTAAAGTTGAACTATCGTGGTTAACTTCGATTTACACTTGCAAAGCATTATCTTTGTTAAGATAAGAAAACCTTTATTTGTCTCCCAATGGAGAGATTCCCATACCTTGCTGTTATTTGATGTTTCACAAGACAAAGTGACCAGCTGCGTATTTAATATATAATATTAAAATAAAATGGAAAAAAACAAAAATAAAGCTAGGAGAAAATGTTTCATCCTAAATGTTTAAAAAATATATATAAACGGTCAATTTGACCCACAATTGGAGGATTAAGGGGCAGACATAACTCATAGCTGTGCGCTTCATTAACAGACGCTTAACTTCTTTTTACACTTGGATCACAGTAATTTTGCCTGTTCAGTTGCTAAAGCTTTTACAAAGATGAAAATGTTGACCCTGGAATGAATTATTTTTTCATTATTTTGGAATGGGGGGAAAAAAATTCAACGGGGGGGGACAAAGGCGGGCCTCATAGAAAGGACTGTGTGTGACCTTTGTGGTTCCACCATATTTACACCTTAGCAGCGGCTACGACACAAAAGGGTCAGTCCAACAGGAGAGTGCACGCGAGCACCAGCGGCACACATTTTCACAGTTGTCCATAAATACATTTCATTTCAATCCCTTTGGCCTGTTGACCAGAATGATGTGCTCAAAACACGTCAGCAGTGTGTCCAAATCCATTTTGTTCCCGCCAGCACATTTGGTAGGCAATGGAGCGCAACGGTTACATTACGATCATGCTAAATGTTAGCAGAGACGACATCGAGATAACAGGTGGAATTGACACAGCAGGTCCAAGTGCTCTATTAGGATTTTAATACCTGTATCATGTTTTTTTTTTTTGTAGTGCTATTTACATTAGTTCTGTGTGTGCAGACGCCCAAATCGCAAGCACCGGTAAGTGAGCCGATCAGCATTAACACATGCAGTAAGAAAATATTAAAACGTTCTACACAGTACGGTATGTAAGTTAATAAGTAGTTGGCTTGGACCTACTCCTCCCCACATTGAATGAAAAGAATTTTGAAGATGTGAAGTTGGCATTGACGGGGTACAGCACACATATTTGAAGGAGGTCTGATTCCAATTTGAAGATAACCGATTCCATGCGTTTAGTTTACACTGCACGACAGTAAAAAGAAAAAAAAAAAGAGATAGTGGCACTTGAACCATGCCATGTAAATCCAGCATTAAAGGTTAAATGTTGTAAACAGTATTTTTTTGTTTTTTTTTTTCCGAGGGGTCCACAGTGTGTCAGCTCAAAAACAAGTGCCGTGCAGTACTTTGCATTGAACCAGCTTGTCTCCCTCTACCTGCTAGCTCACCTTCAGCAACAACCAAAACATTGACTGATTCTGCAAAGGCCAAGCCAAGAAGTGTGAAAGGTGACGTTGGTATGCAGGTTTGATTTGGCATGGAGCACACAGTTTCATTGCGGGGAAGGTTTTGGCTGTCCAAGGTCCAAGCCGGTTGGTTTACCGCCGTGGTCCTCGGGGTTCACTGCACACAGCACGCTGATAGGAGAGAACGGGGCAATGATGTTATTATTTACTGTCAATTATAATTGACACCACAATGGGACACCTTCAGACATACTCAACACTTGCATATGGTGTACCAGATTTTTTTGGAGGGTGCCTCATTATGTGTATATTCATTGAAAAATGCCCGTTTTGCTTTCTGTGTCAGACATCGCCTTGGTGCTGCAGCGCATGATAAATAATCAACCGCCGCACAGGCGGAAGCCTGTCTGTGATGTGGATCGGGTTACATCCTCTCCATTTAAATAAATAATGGAAATAAATAAATATCCGAATCTAGATGCCACTTTCACAGCCATCTACCCGGCCTGGTGGATCCCGAGACGTCTGACGGTCAGATTTGGGATGAGGATGCCTGCCTGGCAGTGTTTGTTTTTTTTTTTTTTTTTTAAACCTACGAGATCTTATCTGTACGATATGTCTATTTATAAACTCTGTGATGTGACTTTCTCTCCTTTCTGATTTATTATTATTATTTTAATTTCACAGGAACCCTCAGTGAAGGATAAAAATACTCTTAAGCCCACGGGACTACTTGTGGGAACAGTTTTTTTTTTTAAATGAAAGCGGCTCTATCACTAAAAAAATCAATTTTACTCCTTATATTTATATCTATTCTCATAAAATGAAAGCGACCTTGAGTTTTTTTTTTTTTTTTTTATAATTGACACCACAATGGGACACCTTCAGACATACTCAACACTTGCATATGGTGTACCAGATTTTTTTGGAGGGGGGGGTCATTATCATGTGTATATTCACTGAAAAATGCCCGTTTTGCTTTCTGTGTCAGACATCGCCTTGGTGCTGCAGCGCATGATAAATAATCAACCGCCGCACAAGCGGAAGCATGTCTGTGATGTGGATCGGGTTACATCCTCTCTATTTAAATAAAGAATGGAAATAAATAAATATCCGAGTCTAGATGCCACTTTCACAGCCATCTACCCGGCCTGGTGGATCCCGAGACGTCTGACGGTCAGATTTGGGATGAGGATGCCTGCCTGGCAGTGTTTGTTTTTTTTTTTTTTTTTTAAACCTACGAGATCTTATTTGGGTCACCTCCCAAGAAAGGACAGATTTACATCCATAGACAAGTGATCTGGCTTATCACTCAATAGCAACTGGTGGATGTAAGGGATGGGCCAGTCAATGACTTGACGTGACTGACGTCTGTTCACAACATGATGCTGTCCATTTAAATTAACTAGGGGGATGAATTTGGCAACTACAAGACTAGAACCAAAAATGGGAACATCAGCTGTTCAAACTTTGCAATTTTGCTCCCTTCCCATCGATACTTCGAAATGGGCTGCCGAAGGTACACTATAATTGTCATCCTACTTTCAAGGCATGTTAGATGAGTTTGGTGTGGACAAACTTGTTTGCAAGACTGTCCCACACCTTTGGGATGAACTAGGAACAGTGGCGCATGAGCTCCACAAATTTGATTCCATTTTCACTTCCTATCATTTGAATGAGCATATAGTGTATCTCAATATACTCATAGCATATGTGCTATATTGTGTACATATGCTGCCGGAGTAGCATCGTCATTTGTCGACCCGCAGTGGCTGCCGTTGGCCCCATGCCAACTTGTGGCTAGCAGCCACCGTGTGGTTTTTATTAAAATAACTTCAGCGGGAATAAGAAGAAGCCATATACTTTGGGAAATTTGAGCTCTCTCACCAGTGAAATGGGCAAAAAAAAAAAAGTATAATTCCGCAGGAATTTCTCGCTAAGCACAGGATCTTGTCCGGGCTTTAAGAATGCCCGATCCATCTTGGAGAAATGCATGGGAAGAAGAAGTATGTCGGTTATGATCTGGATCAAGTGTCTCACTAAAAGCACATTTTTTCCCATGCTATAGTTTAGTTCATCTTATTTAGCTTTGAATTAACATACATGAATGTAAAGTTGAGGTTGAGAAGGAAGCATATGTGTGAGAAGAGCTACGTTCTACTCATTTCAGTTTCGTTAGGATGGTTTTTTTTTTTTGGTTTTTTTTCTTCAACATTGCAACACCGCAACCAAGTTCACAGATACGATGAAAGTTAGCCTCGCTTCTGCCATTTCGTTTTCTCCTGCTACACTTTGTTAGAGTTTTCTGCAGTCTGGGACTTCCTCCGGCTACGTGCCGCCTCTCACAAATCAGTCTTGGCACCACAACAGAGATGATCAAGTACGCGGGGTGCTTTTGTTGGTCAGTCAGAGTCCATTAGACACAATAAGGGCAGTCCAAAATTAAAAATCACCATGGATGTGTCATCAATTTTCGACGACGCAACACTCACAGCTTCTGACGGAGTCTGCTAGGGGCTCCCGATCCATCGAGACATCCCTCTGAGTCTCCTGCATCTGGAACCAATAAAAGTCTGACATGTATCATTCCATATAATAAGTATATATAAAAAAATATATATACTTATGCATGATTTAAACCTGTTCAAACGTAATAAAACACTAACTGATTAAAATACATTTTTAAAAGTATTCTTTAACATATTTTCACACTCTCAGTCATACAATTCTCCAAATAAATTGATATCCAAACACAAAACCTCCTAAAATGGAATGTGACCCAGGTGCAAAAGCACCCTCACCTTGATGTTCTTCTTGAGGTACTCTGCTCTGCTCATGAGGCTTTTAATCTGAAAACAAACAAAACAAAACAACATCTGTATTTTTATTGAAGGTCTCATGCCACACTGAAAAATGTTAGCAGATTTGCAAGATAATTTGGTTGGAAATGCCCATGATGGCCTTTTTCAAACTCGACAATGAACCCATCCAAAGTAGCACAATGAGCCAGCCAGTGGACACAACTCCACCCCCCCGGCAGGATATGAAAGAGGCAGGAACATACTGGATGTGGTGCACATAATGAAAGCTGGCATTCAGTTGCATTATGGGTAGCGTGCAGTGTTTTTCTGACCTGTACTCGGCAGCACAAGACAGGATGTCTGAGTCTCTGCTGCAGCAGTGTGGAATGTGAGTTATTATTTTTTTTTTTAAACTCTCCGGTGAGACCTCCAACCTCACGGAAGTGCAGCGCCAATTTTGCTCGAGTTAGGGAAATTGGGAAAACATTTCAGAAGGGACACGTGTGCTTCTCGGTTCGGGGGTGCCACAGATGAGGAAAAAGGAGCACAGAGTTTTTGCTCGTACACTGCTACACACAATACAGAGACCTCCGCGGTTCGTTTCCATACTTTGCCTTAAACGTAGTGATCCGGCGCAGCAAATTAGCATTTTGACCGCAGTTTTTTGGGGGTATTCTGCCCTCAAACCGCAAGCCTTTAATCAGCGTGTGCAATAAACATGAAGGAATTTTACACGGGGGTTCGCATTCTCGATGCTTGAGTTCCCGTCATGACATTAAATCAGTTTACACGGGATACATCACGATTAGGACTCCGGTCAACAACAGTTGGACTCTTGGTGCTCCTTTGTTCGAGCAGAGGTCGGGTTAGAGTCTCAAAGGTTTGTGGCTGTGTGCGTTTACTCTGTGTTCCGCATTATGATGCAGAGAGGGTTTAGTTAAATAAACATTTGAGTTTGTTTGGGAGTGGGGGGGTTCCCCCTTGGGAAGTGTTTGCTCATGTTGTTGCCACTGTCTGTTGGAATCATTGATATCAATCTCATACAGGTTAGACAAACAGTTTCCCTGTTAAGCCTTTCTGTGAAATTATTACCCTTTTATTTTTTTTGGGCTCACAAGGTCGCTGCCATGATGGCAAGGCTCACCTCGCTGTGGAGCAGTTCTCGTCGACGGCCCTGCGGCTCAGCTGGGAGGGGACAAAAGAGAGAGAATAATGAGCACATTGTTCTACTCTACTAATGGAACAGTCCATCCCACCATCCGCCATCTTTTCGCTATCCACAAAAAAAACCCCAAAATGAAGAAGCAGCCTTCTACAAACACAAACAGAAAACTCCCCCCGACACACACACACACAATCTTCTTGCTACTATCTCGGACTTGGCAGGGGACTGATCTCTCGAGGCAACTTTCTCGAGGCAAATGTGGTAATTGTTATAATGATTTCATTATTGAGGGGATTTCAACATGCCCAAAACTCAATTTTTTGTAGCTATTTTTTAAGGGTCCAACTACACAACCCCCTGCAGAATAGTAGCACCCCATTCAAACAAACCTAAAAAAAAAACCACACCAATTAACACAAATGAACCCATCCCCAATATTACACAGGAAGTCAGCCATTTTGATTTGGACCTCCATCTTGAGGCATGCTTTGGCAAACTGCTACGGAATTCTCCCAAATAAGTGGAGGTATCCACGACAATTAATTCCCAACCAGTGTGCCTTTGCACGTGAGTGAGCCCCGAGTGAAAATGATTTTTTTAAATAGAAATAATGTATGTTTGTCCAACTATCTAAGCCAGCGACGTACAGTGAGAGGCGGAACAATGAAATGCTCTTCAATCCAACGGCAGAAGGTACATACTGCAATTTTTGTGATGTTTGGTGGTGTGCCTTGGCTAAACAAAAACCTGGGAAACACCGTTCTAGACAGATGGGCGATGCTTTTTATTTTTTGCTAATAATTTTAGTATTTGTCGTCTGAGCATGCCATCAAAAGTATTGATCTTTTCATTGATTCGCCATCATAAAGAGGGTGGGAACCTGCATCTTTAATGTTTCTATTAGTATTGCAGCAGTTGGCTGAATATAGGACGTCTTGCAACTTTTTTAAAGGCCAATTTAAAATTACAAAAGATAATATTGTTAAAAATTTTATTTTCTATGAGTTTAACTTCCCAAGTCATGTTGCTTGTGCGCTCCCATTAAAGTGCGTCCCAGTATGTTCTACTTACGTCATATTTTGAGTATGTATTGTCGTTTGAAAGTGAATATCAGCGGTATGTTCGCATGTGGTTTGTCCTCCTTGAAAAGCATCTTGATTGGGAAGACTAAGCGCTGGCTGGCTGGCTGGCCGCTTCTAGCTCTCACCAGTGGAAGATAAGCGTCCTGTGTGTTTACAGCAAGGACTAAATGGGAAGCAGATGGCGCGGCTCCCGTAGCGCACGCGGGGGCCCTGGCAGACGCCGGGTCCCATCATCTCAGCTCCAAAAGGCCTCACTAGTGGAATCGCTCTCACATGAAGGCGCATGAGCTCATTGCCTCATGCAAGGACACGGAGTTAGTGAATGGACTTCTGTGTTGCTTGACAGCCTCGCCAACTGGCTCTCTCACCTTGCCTCCATCTTTATTCACGACAATCATGCGCGAATATGCCGAGAACTAAGCTGACACTTTCTATGGGCCTCATTTATTGAAGGTTTGCGCTCGGGATTGAACTGATTATTCGACTCGAAGTCCACATTACTATGCCACATCGACATTTAAGCATGAATCTTGGGAGCGAACAGTTTATTTAGCAAACCATTTTCCACCGTACCTGCAAGTGCCAACAGGAGTTCTCCTAAGCAATTCTGGTATTCATCCAAGGCCTCATTGTCGTCCACTCCGCTTTGCTCCTACAGCACAAACACCAAGACAACACGTGATTATCTACAAGGTGTTTGCAGATTTAGTTATTTTTTTTCCCCTCGGACGAATGTCTACTTTTATATGGGAGTGTTTAGTTTTGTAGAACAGTGTTGTTTGTTCCCAAATTAAATCTTAAAAGTGGGACTATTTAATTATTTTAGAAAGTCGAGTAATTACTTAGAGTGGCCATGAATTAAATTATGGAAAATATTATTCAACATATTTTATCATTTAATTTAAATTAATTTGTATATTTTCTTACATTCTCTCAATGTAATCAATGCATAATTTTACCAAATATTTCACTTTTTTTAAAAAATTTGTGATACACAACAGTACCATATTGTAATTATCCATTTATTTGGTTTTACACTTATTTTTGGCACATTATTGAAGATCTCCCATTCATAAAATATGACCGCTGGTAGAGAGCGACAAGGGCTTAATCTTGATTTTGATACACAATATATAATGATTTTTTGATATAATTATATACTCTTATTAAAAATGGGTCAAATTCTTTAGAAATGTTTCCAGTGACAATACAGTGGAGCCCTGCTTATCACAAGGAAAAAGGACGAGAGAAAACCCATGTATAACTGACACCCACTGAAAAACATTGGGGAAAAAAATGTGTGTGGAGACAGAGTTGACAACATTTTGAATGACAATCCATGTCAACAAAGCACTAAAATCAGCAGAAAAGTGATGAAAAGCTCTTACAACTGCAGCAGTTCATTTTTGTATCATGTCTTCCTGCCATGTCTGACCTTAGCGATGGCGACTGAGGCCATATCCAGCGCCGCCAGCAATCGTGGCTGCTCACGAGACATTTCTGCAAAGTGAGAAGAGAAAGGTTTGAAAACCAGCGCTTGTTTTCATTAGGGTCGCGGTTGACCTGGAGCCAATGGCAAAACTGGAGGGCCTGAGCCAGGATTCAAAACCAGAACCTTTCGACTCTTAAGAGAACAATCACAACTTCCCTATGCTGCAGAGTCACCGCAATTTGAGAACGAGAACACAAGTCCTACATATGCGCCTCTGCGACGTTTTTTACCTCTGAGGATGTCCGTGGAGGTGCGCGCCTCCTCAAAGATACGCTTGTTGTCCGAGGCGACCAGGGCCTTCAGCTCTTCCGCTCGAGACGCATACTGACGGACCTGCAGGGACATTGACATGATGCTGTACTGTATGTGTGGTCTGCTTTCAGAAGAGAAACACTAGAGCAGGGGTGGGCAAAACTAGGCCTGAGGGCCACATACAGCCCTCTTAGTTCTTTAGAGGTATAATACGCCTCACCAAGTATTTACATAATCAACAGTCAATATTTGATACATACAACGGATATATCTAAATACATATACAACATACTAATGATATGTATATTATTATTTCATGTATTAATCCTATTTTTCCACTAAAGTTTTGATTAAAATAAATTCATTTTTTAAATTAATTTTTGATGGATTAAATCTCATTAAAATAAAATAATTGATTTGCCGAGAATCATAACAAAATATTTAAATAGACATTTTTTAAATTAATTTAACTTTATTGTTTAATGAATTATAATTAAATTAAAAACAACAATAACAATGAAAATGAATAATTGTTTTAGTATTAAAATAAAAATTTACATCTGATTTATACTTAAAAAAAAAAATCAAGCAGAGCTAAAATAAATCATTTTACAGCACATAATGCAGCATATATATGCATGTTTATTTGATTAAACAATTGGCTAATTCAACATAAATAGGAAAGTGATTCACACAATATTAATAGGGGAAATATTCTCTGGCCTACTTTTTGCCTGAGGACATCTTTTCGCTTCTGGTCAGTCTCATCTGGAGGACGAAAGGCAAGGTAAGTAAGTTTAACATGCTTTGTCGGAAATGTGCATATGGTCTTACAGTAAATAGCAGGGACAAAGTGCTCCAGAGCACCGCAGTAGAGAGAGAGCGCAACGGACCTCTCGCCATCTTGGTCCTTCTGGACGGCCTGTAAGACCAGTTCTTTCTGACGGGAGGCAAGACATGGGGAGTGACACCTCTGAAAACATGACGCAGGCTCTTCTGTAGTCTCTTACCGCCTTCCCCAAGCTCTCGGCACTTGGCATGTGCTCCATGTCCACAAAGGGGTGCGTGAAGAACTCGGCGAAGGTGATCCGGGCATCGGGATTCCTCTCCAGGAGACGCAGGAGGAGGTCCCGGCAGTGCTTGGAGACCCTGGCCCCGGGGGGGAGCTGATGTACAACAATGCGACCTTATTATGTTGCTCTCAATCCGCAATGCAGACAATGCATTTGAAAGGTCAAAAGACTGTTGCCAAAAATCATCGTGAGTACTTTGCAGCGGAGGGTGACCTTAACAGATGAGTTCCCATGGAATTCTTTGGTAAAGGACATGAGATTAAACTTTGTATTTTCAACCATAAATGTTTTTATTCTTGACCAAATGTATTTACTATTTGATTCAGAACATAGATAAGATAAGATAAGATAAGAAAACCTTTATTAGTCTCGCAATGGAGAAATTCCCAATTCACAGCAGCAAAGTTATGAAAGGAAGAAGTAGAACAACAAAATATAGGAGCTGCTGGAAAGGCAGCCACTCTCGCGGCGCCATTTTGAAGTCAAAATAACAAAAATAACACAACACAACACATAGGACACAAGACAGTCGTGCAATCTTCACCACTTTTCTGCATACAGTCATACCTCGGTTTTCGACCATAATCCGTTCCAGAAGGCTGTTCGAAAACCGATTTGTTGAAAACCATGTTTCCCATTGTAATCAATGTAATAAATTTTAAAAAGATGTTGATGAGTGCAACAGGCCACCAAGTGCCCTTTTGACAGCAAAGTGGGCCACCTAGTGGATTTATACCGAATAGCTGGAAAAAATAAAATGGGTATTACATCTGAAACTTGACCACTGACCTCAATGGGCTGGTTACTTCGAATCTTCTCTTCCAATTCTGAATACGACTTTGATGCAAAAGGGGCCCGTCCAAACAGTGCCTCTACATTCACACAAGCAACATTAGAGTGGATAAGACTGTTCAAAAGGATCATTCGTATTTTGAATATGAAGGGGGCGGGCGGGTGAAGTATTCAAAACTTGCTAGCAGTTTGGAAACTGCAAAATCCCCCTTTAAATATAAGATTACAAATATCTATTTTATAACCCTCGTCTCGAACGAAGTCAACGCTCACCATAAAGAATGACTCCCACCGACCAGAGATCCACTCTGGAGTCATACTGGCGCCGACACACCATTTCGGGAGCCATGTACAAAGGAGAGCCTCTCAGCACGCTCTTTTCGTCCCATGGTGACATGTACTGGGCGAAGCCAAAGTCTGACATTGAATCAGAATGCAGCATCCGATACAGTCAGAAGCAGGATTTCACACAAACAAATTTGTTTGTATTCTTTCTTACCTGCTAATTTGAGGACTGAGCCACACAGCAAAATGTTCTGTGGTTTCAAATCCAAGTGGGAGATATTTCGGTCATGTAAGAACTGGAGAGCACATGCTGTGGGTGGAAGCAACATCCTTTGTTCAAATGGCCATTCCAAATCAAATGAAATACAAGGTCCAAAGGTGAGTCAGCTGACCTATCTGTTGCAGAAAACGCCGGGCAACTCTCTCTGGCAAGATCCGACGACTGCGGATGAAACGGGACAGATCTCCACCGGAACACCATTCCAGGATCAGATAGATGTTCTCAGAATCCCACTGATGGTAACACAACATCAGTTTGTATTGATACAGAGGAAGTCCAGCACACTGTACCTCATATCATACAGAATTAAAGATAACCTCAGTGCAAGTTTTTTGCCTTTTCCTTTGTCTTTTTGCGACAGCGTTGAGAGAAGAATGTTCTACCTTCGGTTTCTGACGTTTTACTTGAATATTTTGTGACTTTAAGTCTAATCTGTTTGCCCTCTTTAACAAGAGTGCTAAGTGGAGATTTATAGCATTTTTGGTAGGGTACTGTCAAATTACCATCAGAATTAAAAAAGAATAATTATTGAGATTCTTCATATTTATTTGCCCATGTTGGCCAACCTTACTTGGATAGGCTCAAGTTCACCCACAACCGTAATGTGGACAAGTGCTACAGAAAATGGATGAACGGATAGATGCTAATCAAGTGAGCTCACCACAAAATCTTTCAACTGGACAATATGAGGGTGACGTACAGTCTTGAGGATCTCAATCTCCGTGAGCAAGTTCTCTGTGGACGCCTTGTTCAGCGTCTTCTTGGCGACCACCTTCACGGCCACCGCTTCTCGGCTATCACCCTGGACAAAAATGTAGGCCCTTTAGTATCATGGATGAGGCATGAGAGAGCAAGAGGACGCAAAATGGGGGCAATGTCTCACCTTTCTGTAGGCTTTATAGACTGTGGCATATGTTCCGCTCCCCAACCGCTCTGTTAGGATGAAGTCATCCAGTTTTGGAGGGGCGAAGTTGGAGGACGAAGCCATGTTGGCTGCAATGTACCATTAATATGGAGCTATGTAATGTGGTCTGTCTAAAAATAAAATTTCTGATTGTTTCTCACAAAAATCCAATATTATAGAAGAAGCACAATACAATGAAACATCAAGGCTCGCGGGCGTGGCAGCTGTCTTCGGGCAGTTGGGTGGCAGGGGGTACACCCTGTACTGGTTGCCAGCCAATCACAGGGCACACATAGACAAACAACCATTCACAATCAAAATCACACATTGGCACAATTTAGAGTGCCCAATCAACCTATCATGCATGTTTTGGGAATATGGGAGGAAACCGGAGTATCCGGAGAAAGCCCACGCAGGCAAGGGGAGAGCATGCAAACTCCACACGGGAAGGCCAGAGCACAGTGGACTTCTGTAATGTGATGCGGACATGCTAACCAGTCATTTCCTGTGCCACCCTATTCAAAACACGTTATAATACAACAAATACATTAACACCAATTTCTGGTCTTTGTCTCACTCTCAACGATATGACGGTTTCACATTAAAACTGTTATTATATTCTTATCGGGAGGGCCAGTTCTGTCCTGGTCTGCTCCCTGGACACTCACACACACACACACACACACACACACACACACACACACACAGGTATATTGCACTTATATTGAACTGTGTACAGCTCTCTTTATCTACATTTACTTTTGTGCTTGCAAACACTTTGTTTTTCTTTTTTCTACCCCCCTAATTTGCTGCTGTAGACTGTACATTTCCCCACTGTGGGACAAATAAAGGATATCTTAATCTTATCTGTTGTTAATTTTATTGATAGTTAACGGTTATGAGGACGGCCCTGATCAACAGGGAGTGACGTGATTATCTAATTAAGCTAAGTGTGAAAAAGAAGTGGGTTTTAGCCTACCAAGGCAGTAAGACAAGGACGCAAACAATCAGGTTGACTTAATTTGGTGTTCTGTTTGTAGACTACCAACAAAAAGTTGTAGCTAGCGGCATAAACCGGAGTGAAACAACACTTGACAGCAATCAACCGGCCGTCATTCGAGTAGTAACGTTTTAATTCAAACCTCGTTCAAAATACCATTATCGCGTACCTGTGTGGTAGTCAATCCATGACTGGCAGAAGTGTGAGGAAAGGTAATTGTTTACATCGCTGTCAGTCGTTGGCGGTGCACACACGCAGCCCTTTGGCTGTTTGGGTCACGTGACTTGGAACCTTGTAGAATCTGTCACACTGCCTTCTATTGTTCGGATACTAGTACTGCACTGCACCTGCTGGATTGCGGTCGTATTTTTTATTGAACAGTCTACAAAATACAAAAATTGAAAGATCAACAACAAGTTTTTAAAATATTACAAAAATATATAATATAAATAAACAATAGATACATTGATATACGTCTCCTTGTTGAAAACTACGACTAATAATCATCACTTTATAAAGCCTGGTGGTGTCGTGGTTTCATTTGCCTGATTCCGATGAATGATTTCAAAAATATATCACAGATTTTACGGGTTTATTACCTATTAGGCCGTATTGCTTTTTGAAATAAAGACTATCAATTAAAAACATTTTCGTAAGAAAAAAAGGATAATACACATCAAATATGAACACTTTATCGACGATAACATTATTCGTGCTAATTTAACTGTAGGAATTTAAAAAATATATTTTTTATTTTCATTATGGCACTACAAATAAAAGAATACACCTCAGAAGTGACACTCAATGAAATTAATTATTTTATTTTAGTTTAGTAAAATTTAATTTAGTTTATTTGCATGAAATACGTGTGCAACGCAACAATGTAATGTCATTTTTCAGCTACTGTGTCCTTTATCTTTTCGATCTTTTTGAACAATGTTTGATAAAACGCCACCGGAAGTCCGCGTTCATTGCCCAAACGGTGGGCATTTAAAGATGGCGGACTGCTTGGCAGCACGCTTCGCAGCGCAGGAGGAGCAAATTCGGCTTCTTGCTGGCGAAATCACCACCCTTCAGGACGGGATCAACCGGGACTTGGGCCCTGCCGGCGATGCGGGGGTCTCCTCGCAGCTGGAGGAGCTGAGGTCGGAGAATGAGAAGCTCAAGTACCGGCTATTGCACCTCCGCCGGGGTCTGCGGTTGGAACTGGAGCTGGAGCCGGGCAAGAGTTCACAGCCAGGGGGCGAGTGCGGAAAAGCTGCCGGGGGGAATGTCGTCAGAGGAGGGCAGACGAATAACAAAGCTGCTGCTAAAAAGGTGATGAATAACTAGGGGTTTACATAACAGTTTTGGTTCTCCAACTACTATTGTTTTTCACAACCTCAGTGAAAGATGCGGCTGTCGGATTTATTACTACTACTATTAATTATTGCACAATATCTTGAAGTGTTCTTTAGATGTATTCGCATTTGTGTAATTTACTACAATCCTTACCTAATCAAATAGATGTATCAAAATAAAGATGATCTGGAAAAGCTTTCTGGTCATAACATACTTGTAGAATCTCAGCCCAGATTAGTTGACTTTGCAAGAAACTCACATGGAAATCGATTGAGTTTTGTTTTGGCACATGATAAAAATTTATCGTGTTAAGTTAATACAATTTTAATTGTTACAGTTACTTTTGGCATGACTTGGAGCTAGGCTGGTTGAAGATCATCTATTTTCAAGCAGCACTGAACCACTGTCATGTCAAAACCCAGTGTTTTTTTTTTGTGTGTGTGTGTGTGTGTGTGTGTGTGTGTGTGTGTGTGTATGTGTGTATGAGAGAGAA